TCATTATTATTTACAATATAAAAGTTATCAATAGATCTTATCCGGAACTCGTTGGGTTTTCCAAACTTATCACCCAGTACAACAAACTTTACCCGTTTAAGCATCACGGTGCACTGCAGTTCACAATAGATAAGTCAACCAGTTGTGCTTATTTTCGAAGCTGTAACGGTAAAAATCTGGATATATTAACGGTTGATAACTTCGCGACTTGTGAATTAAAACAGATTTCTATAAATCTAGTCTATATTTAGTCTGTATGTGAATGCAAGTCAAAAGTAGTTATTTCTCGTAAAATGTTTTCACTTTTGGCTAAATTTTAACAGTTAACTAGCAAATCTTCTGTACAATATCTATATCGTGTCGACGAAAAACGCCTGTAGTCATATAGTTTTAATCTGGTCCAATGGATACTGATTTCCCTCAAACCAAATTGACTCCAGCGTAGATAAACAGTCAAACACAAAGCAGCTATTTTAAACAAAAACTGAAACAGCGAAAACGGAGCTAAAAATGGGTCTTTGACATTCAAAGAATCAGACATTTCTCAAGTGCTAACTTCGAATAAATCATACACCTACTCGGCAAGTATCCAGCTAGCATTTAATGAATACTCTGACTTAATCGAAGTTCATCGGCTGCATAAACTGCTAGACGGTCTTCCCTCAGCTATGTTTATCGACCAACTGTTAATAAATTATCAAAATTCAGAGTTGAAATTTGAAAACACACGGCAAATGTTCGAAATAATCAGACAATCTGATGATTAACCATACACTAGCAGAATTACTTAGTGCATCGAACTCGTCGCGCAAAACCATAACATCGAAAGGAATGAAACCAGATACACATCAAACTGCAGAAATAATTCGATCTCTTAAAAGACGCTATCGCATCTCTCCAAGAGGATATCTTAAACATGAAACAGAATAAAGTTGCCGAGGAGTTGGCTCATTAATCTGAAATTCAAGCATTACATTCTGCTATCGATTATATTAGAAGTGATTATGCTTCAGGCACGACAGTTCTAATTACTGAAGAGCGCATACGATGTAAATCCGAACAACTGAAACAAAACGATCAAAAAAAAAAAAAAAAAAAAAATTTTTTAAATTTGGGGTTTTTAAAAAAATTTTAAAATTAAAAAAAGGAAATTTTTTTAAAAATATCCAATCAAAATTAAAAAAAAATTTTTTAAACCTTTAAAAAATTTTTTTAAAATTTTTTAAAAAAATTTAAAAACCCAAAAAAAAACCCCCCCTTTTTAAAATTTTTAAAAACCCCCTTTTCCCTTTTTAAAAAAAAATTTTTAAACCCCAAAAAAAAAAAATTTTTAAAAAAAAAAAACCCCCGGAAAAAAAAAAACCCAAAAAAACCCAAAATTTTTTTAAAAAAAAATTTTTTTTTGGGGAAAAAATTTTTTTTTCCCCAAAAAAAATTTTTTTTCCCCCCCGGGGGGGGAAAAAAAAAGGGCCCCCTTTTTAAAAAATTTTTAAAAAATTTTTAAAAAAAAAAAAAAAAAAAAAATTTTTTTGGCTTTTTTTTAAATTTTCCTTTTAAAAAAAAAGCCCCTTTTTAAAAAAAAACCCTTTTTTTAAAAAATTTTTTTAAAAAAAAAAAATTAAAAAAAAACCGGTGAAACCCTTTTTTTTTTTTTAAAATTTTTTTTTTTTTTTTTAAAAATTATTTTTTTAAAAGGCAAAAAAAAATTTTTATTTTTTAAAAAAACCCCCCCGGGTTAAAATTTTTTTTTTTTTTTAAAAAAAAGGCCCAAAAAATTTTTAAAAAAGGGGTTTTTAAAAAAAATTTTTAAAAAAAAAAAAAAAAAATTTTTTTTTTTTAAAAAATTTTAAAAATTTTTAAAAATTAAAAACCCCCCCGGGGTTTTTTTTCCCGGGGGAAAAATTTTTTTTTGGGGTTTTGGGGGGGTTTTAAACTTTAAAGGGGGGTTTTTTTTTTTTAAAAAAAGGGGTTTTTTTAAAAAAAAAAAGGAAACCTCCGGGGTTTTAAAAAAAAATTTGTTTTTTTGGGGGGGAAAAAAATTTTGGTTTTTTTTTTTTTTAAAATTTTAAAATTTTTTTAACCGGGGGGGGGGGGGAAAAAATTTTTTCCCCCCCGGGGGGAAAAATTTTTTTTCCCCCCCCTTGAAAAAAAAAAAGGGGAAAAAAAAAATTTTTTGGGAAAAATTTTTTTTTTTAAAAAAGGGTTTTTTTTTTGGGGTTTTAAAAACCCCTTTTTTAAAAACAAAAATTTTTTTTAAAAAAAAAAGGGGCCTTTTTTAAAAATTAATTTTTTCCCCCTTTTTTTTTTTCCCCAAAAAAAAAATTTCCTTAAATAAAAAAAATTTTTTAAAAAAAAGGAAAATTTTAAATTTTTTTTTTTTAAAAAAAAAGACATTTTTTTTCTTTTTAAAACCCCCCTTTTTTAAAATTTTAAAATTTTTTTTTCAATTCTTGTGTTTCCCAAAAAAAAATTTTTAAAAAAAAAAAAAAAATTTTTCTTTTTTTTAAATTTTTTTTGGGGTTTTTTAAAAAAAATTAAAGAAAAGGGGGAAAAAAATTTTTTTTTTTAATAAAATTGTGAACAAACCCGGGTTTTTTCTTTTTGTTTTGTGCTTGTATGTCATCATTGTGGTCGGAATTGTACGATATCTTAACCACCCATAAAATTTTTACTACAACGAATAAAGAAATATGCATTTTAGCATATTTTACCTTTTTACTATATCTTCCAAGATTTATATCACGGTGATAAAGTAGATAGATAAGAATGAGGATGTTAAATACATAAGGCTAAAATATGAAACGGATTGATAACAAAATCCGGTCTACATTTTTATGGCATTTTTATTTCCCCTTCATCTAAGAGATTGTATAAAAGGTTTATTTATAGTCATAACACAAAATAAAAGCATTTTTTGCGACGATACTCTCGTTTTATGCAAATAAGCAATTCCCACGCTGTTTAAACGCGCGGTTTATTATTTGTTTAAGCATTTATGCAACTCATATAGTTTCATATGCAACTCATATAGTGTTTTTGTACACTCTTCATTTCATTCATTGGCTTGCATATTTTAAACAGATGAAGAGTTGATACAAAGCATAAGTTTTGGTCATAATTCCCTTTAAAAACCACAAATGGTTGATTCTTTTATAATGTTGTAACATAACATGTTTCATGTGTATTTTCAGAATTTGTTGGGTCAATCCCATATATTGTGTCGCAATTTACCGTGTGATTCTTAATTAAATACGCTACATTATAATCAGGCCCCACATCATATGATTTTGACTCTCTTGTCCGTTGTTATCTATAACCTTTCTTTGACTTGTCCGAATGAAATTTATATTAATATTAATTACCACTTGTCCGTAAAGGCTGTGTGACAACATGTGCAATGCGGGCCATTGATTTTGCCACTCTTTCTACATATATTAATCCGTCTAATAAAAAGACTATTTATGAAAATTTATGTTTATGAAAATAATTTCAAACATTAAACTGGTAAGTGTTTAACACTAGTAAGAATTTACCAGTTTAATCTAATGGACTTTAGTTTATACCCTATGAGAATAGGGATAATTATGTTAATCTACAAGCACAGATAATTATGTTAATCTACAAGCACATTAACGTCTAGAGAAAACAAAACAAGAAAAAGTAAATTTATGAACAAAATGGTTAATCTATATCAATACATTAAATAATATTATATAGATCTAATAAAAAATCTCGAAATTTATCATAAACGTTCTTCCCATTAAAAATTTTCCCACGATTTTATTTTCACACAAATCACATGAATATGCAAATTATTGTAAAATTTGAAATGAATGATGTAATATGATGTAATAGGACACAAAATGAGACGACTGCATTTTACGACATTGGAAACTTTTAAGTTATGTATTCACCAGGGTTCATATAACTGTGCTATGATGGTAAGTAAAATGAGCATTTTAAAAACATAATTCCACATTATTCTGTTAATACATGCAGGGAGTGATGGTTGACTGTTAATTGATTGATGACAATTTTTAAAATAAAAAGAGAATTATAAATTGAAAAAAAAAGTTTCTATTTCTCTGTTACTTCATTTTTTTCCATTACATTATTTTTCAAATAATGTACCTCACGTGTAACTTATATTATTGTATTGAAATCATTTTTTCTTCTTATTATCTTGAAATATTTAACTCATCTGTACTAATTGACATTGCTGATCTAAAAACAATATCTATGATAATAAGAAGGAAAATGTCTATACTATTTGGTTTCAATACAAGACATAATCTAAAGAAAAGTAAAACGAAATGTCACTTTAAAGAAATCAAAATTTTGAGTCAATCCTTATATCTTATGGATTAGATATATTTAATTATAATAATGACATCACGGAAAATATGTACATTTCTATCAAATGCTATGCCACTCCTTGTTACAACTGTTTTGGTATACAAAGGGGAATTTATAGCAAAATCCACCGAACAAACTGTCGATTTGAATACATATTAAACGTTATCTAAACTAGTAAAATTAAACTGTAGATCTTTAAATATGATAGAAGATTTCTAATTTACTGTCAATTAATCTAATAGAGAAAAATTTTCAGAAGTTTTCCGCTTACAGACTGCCTATCAATTCATGTACAATACTGAAAGAACAAAAGCATGTCTTTCGGTTTATTTTAATGAAAACGCGATTTAAATATCTGATCAAAAATAGTAATTTCATTTAAATGTCTAAAACAATCACGATTTGAATATATGATAATAACTAGAAATTTCTTTAATTTCTAAACAATTGTAAATCGTGTCCTCATGATTTCAGACTAGCAATTCTCTGAACATTTCAAGGAAAAACAAGTGCAGTGATATATATCCCATAATGACATAAGCATTCCAGCAATTGAAAAGTATCTATACATTTTTTGGCTAGAGTGAAATTTAATCTTCACAAGTCCTTACAATTGTTTTCGTGTGAGACATTAATAGAATGTTTGAAACCATAACAACAGATTTCAAGTATCTTTACACAATAGCGATAACCTTAAATGTCTTACAATCCTCTAATCTTCACTATGGAGCATCTAACAGATAAATCAACTTTCTGACCTAGCATATCCTTTGATAACGCAAACTAAACATCACCATTGCAATTTTAATACTTTTTAAAACAATTGCATTATTAACTGAGGTTTGAAAACTTTGAGATAGTAATCGATAATTAATTAATTAATTGTAGATGTATTCAGGGATTCCAGTGAATCATTTACGTGTCACGTGACCAGATACTGGTGTAAGTACCTCCCAACTGGAAATAAATAAATACACGAGTTTCTATATTTGGAAGCTAAATGAAAACCATGTTCGATTACATTGTTTTAGAAAGTAGTGATATACATTGGAAATTATTCAAATATACCATAGACTATATACTAGATATTGGAAAATTAGTGTGATATTCCATGGATGTAATACTATATATGAAATACGGTTAGCCTGATACAAATGAGATTTGTCGTGACAATATATTATAGTGCATGGCAGAAAATAAATATCGAATTCGAACACGGATATGTTTTTGGTAAGACTGTTTTTACTTATACGCCATTTAGATATAGTTTAATTTTAACTTTAATCCAGAGTAACTGAACTGAAGTGACATTGTACCGAGCCAAGGGTATATAGTGAGTGAACGGATGAATATCAAAATAAGTTTTCATTTTGCCATAATTCCTTTTAATTTAATGATTTACTTTCCATAAACAATAAATAATGCACAGATCCAAATAAAATTTCTGTAAATATGTATTAGAATTTACTTCTAACGCTCAGTTTATAAAAAGAGTGGTGCAGTCTTTTTATATTTTAGGCACACATTTAATTTTATCCTGAACGTTTTCCAATATCAACAGTTACTGTTGGTCAAACACCATTTCTTTTGAAATATAAAGTCAATTCAGCTCAACTTGACTATGAAAATATGAGGATAACAAATGGCACTTTAAGTAAACCGCAGTGAAATATAAGGACAATGCAATGAGTTTATATAACCAACTTTGCTAGTTACTTAATATGTACATGTATTTTAGGTAATTGCTGTAGTTACTGGTTTACTGATATCTAAAAGAGCCTCACTAAACATCGATCCTTCAGACTGTGATGCTACTGCTAAGAATCCAACAAAGGAAACTCTAGAACAAATGTACAATGAATGGTTAAGAGTGAACACACCAATCCATCCTTCATTTGATTTGCAGCCACCTTTGTATAAATTCCGATACAAAAATATCTTTATTGAGGATAAGTTTGTTTTTAGGTGGAGGATTCTTGGGAAACCAAAATGTCATAAAAAGTTAAACAGATCTAGTGGCGATTTAATGGACATCTCTTTATGTCCTTGGTATGTTGAGATGACATATGATCCAGATAGATATCCAGAAAGTCTTACAAGCGCAAGATGCAAATGCAAACATTGTTATAGCTTCGATGGTTTCAAGTATGGGCGAGAAAAACGGTTGAATATCCCCAGGTGCAAAGAAATAAAACAAATGATCAAAGTTCTCAAAATACAAAAGAACCATAATGGAATTAAGGTTTGTCAACACAATAATAACAAACTATTTTTATTCAAGGAATCTTATGAAGAAATAACAGTAGGATGCACATGTGCTCTTAAAGGTGATAAACGGGTACAACAAAGCAACTTTAAAACAGGAAGTTAGTTTTTTTTAAATACATGTATATTATTAAAGAATATTTGTTTGAATGTCATTATCAGATATATTATCTCAAGTAGATACTGTTGAATATCTCCTAAAGTGACACAACGAGAGCAAAACGAAGACCCTTTCAAACACCAGACGGCTTTCGAAAAGCAATATACGGGGGGCTTCTGATAAGCACCATAAAGGAGAAGGTCAATTTACATCTCGATATACACCAGTAGTTGAAATGTAATATTTATAAACAACTTTGTGTTTATAGTAGAAACAACTATGTGTATGTAGTATTTATAAACAACTATGTGTTTATAGTAGAAACAACTAAATGTACATAGTAGAAACAACTATATGTATATTGTAGAAACAACAACGTGTATAAAGTAATAAACAGCTGTGTGTATATAGTAGAAACATCTATGTTTATAAAGTAGAAACAACTATGTGTAAATAGTAAAAACAACTAATTATGTGTATATAGTAGAAACATCTATGTGATTAAAGTAGAAAAAACTTTGTGAACATAGTACATGTGTATATGTATATATTATATGTATATAAAGAATAGATGATAAACTGTATTATGTGATATTACATTGTTCCTGAATGTTAAGCATGTGTTTTGAATTATAACATATTACAAGCATTTGTTTTATTTCCATATTAAATCAAAATATACTGTCAAATATGCCTGTACAATACGACAAATGATCAAATGAAAAAGACAAACATTTGTTCCGCGTCACGACAAAACAAACATTTTGCATCCGCGCAGTCTGATCAGGATCCATGCTGTTCGTTTACCAACCCTATTACAAGCAGAGAAACTGATAGCGAACAGCATGGATCCTGATCAGACTGAGCGGATGCGCAGGCTGGTCTGGATCCATGCTGGTCGCAAACGCATTATGTTGGTTTTGTCATTACGCGGCTCATTTCTTCTCAATTGCCGTATTTAGGCGTCTTTTATTTTGTTACAGCTTATTGTGACTCGCTTCTTTCCCGACGAAATGATGCCTTGTAATTTTCCTGCGCTACGGCAGGCCGTCAGTCACTTGTAATTTTCCGTGTAATGTTCCTGTTCTACGTCCGTTAGTCACGCGTAATTTTTCAGCTTTATTGCAATTAATGTAATTTAATGGATTTATTGAAATAGAAACCATTGCAACCATAAATACTGATTTTCCACATAAATCAATCACACTTTAGACAAAAAGAAATCAATAAATAAACAAGTGTAAATAAAAAGACAAAAAAGGGTAATGAAAGAGTCTCTAAGCTCGTTTATCAACAAATAAGCAGTTGCACATGACGTCATTTAAAACTGTGTACTTTCACGGGGATTTCTTTTTACGTCATGTATTTTAATTTGCCTATTTACAACTAAGAGGAGTTATTTATCGTTTTGTACAATTTTTCGAATGCGTGGCGCTTTGAAAACGGCAAAGTTGGGAGCCAGTTTTGAATTTGTCAAAAGATTTTGTAAATGGTGTAAACCGGCGATAATTTTGATGTTTATTTCGCCTGTTGCGTTGTTTGTAATAATGATGAAGTTTGAAATTGACCATCATCATGGAGAATTATATCTTCTGTGTCGATGGATCAAAAAAATATGTGAAAGTATTGGAAATCGAATAAAATACAGGGTAACTTTGGGGGTAGGTGTGCGGATTTTTTCCGGCGAACATTTTTATCTTGTGTATTATTATAGACGTTGAAATATACGATATCTTATATATGAGTACATTGACAATTACGCATTCTATTTGGATTTTAAAGGCGTTTTGAGCTCCACACCCCAAGTGTCTGTACAATTTTTATTTTTAAACAAACATTTTATCTTTACGTAAGATAAAATCTTATTATATTGACATTGCAAACAGGTATTTTAAACGTTTATTAAGAATGGACCGGATATTTTCCTTAATTATCTGTTACGTTTATATTTTGTTGTCACACGGTAGAAGCAACTTCCTCAAATCATGTTTTTAATATTTGAATGTCACCAGTCAATGATACAATAGTTGAAATTCAACCTCAAGTTCAGTTGAACCGTTCGTTTTGACTTAAAGCAGCACGCCTCCAGATTGATTCTAATTTTCATGAAAATTTGAAAATGTATTTAAAAGTATAATATTGTGGAGTTACCAAAAGAATGCATTTTACACATTATCAATGGCACTTTCAACCCATGTAAATTACCATAAAGAGGTCAAAATATGCAGAAATAGCCCTTACTGCGTTAGTAATGCAGTAGAAAAAGGTATTAGCCTTAATGATTCCGAAAAGTCATGCAAATATATCAACATTTTTAGCGGTGCCACACAACATTTGACATCGCGACATGACGTTCTACCGCAACAACACAACACGTTGCATCCCTGGCAGCACGGCGTTAAGTTTAACCAACGTCAAACATCACTTGACATCCCGCTGTGACGTTTTACCGCAGCCACATAACATTTGACATCCCGGCATGGCGTTTTACCGCCGCAACACATCGAGTGGCATTCCTGGCAGTACGGCTTGAAGTTTTACCTACGTATTAAACTGATAACTTGACATCCCTGCCAATATGGCGTGACGTTTTACCGCCGGAACACAACACATGACATCATTGAAGCAAATGATTTGATTTTCTTTTCCGTCTGAAATTCCGATAGAACAATTAAAACAATGATTGAATTATGCAGTACTTATCGAAGAAATACCCTCGTTAGACAAATGACCCTTAAAGTCTCACGCCGTTAAAACACGAAAAACATTTTTGCCTAATTTTAAAACAACTGATTTAAACTTCCTCTTGAAAATACCGCGTCAATGCCTGAACACTTCCTCTGTATAAGAACTGGGGCAAACACAAAATTTATCACACAAAAGTGCAGACAATACACATACTACGAATGATTTCATTCACAAATCTATAAATAGGCTAAATGTATCAAATTAGTAGATAAATTCAAACAGGTAGTAAAACTTAAAAGCTTTGTCCTAAACGATTGTCTCGGTTTAAAAAAAATATTGTAAGCACGGGGTATTTTTGGTTAAATATTTGTTTGAAGGTCTGAAGAACTAAGGAGTAAGTCAATGAAATATATTTGAATAGATATTCCTCACAGATATATTACGCTCAAATTTGATATAAAAAAGATAATTACTTTACAGTCTCTTTTGAAATGTTAAATAAAAATGTTTTGAATACACACACAGAAAATATATAACCTTTTAACCTCTACACTTTACGCAATCGCAGTATGATTACAAAAGCGTTGATTTTAATAAGAAGACCAAAGTAATTTGACAAGCGTTAGGAATTCAGCGTCATAAACATAGTTTATACATTCACTTATTCAAATTAGACATATTCAGGAAGAACTTACTAGATTTCAATAACTTTCTGCAATAAAAGTATTTATTCCAAAGATGAGCATATTGTATCTATATTCCACTGATATTATAAACAAAATAGAGCATATAGTTTATTTCTGAGTTGGGCTCAACACCCATCATCACAACATACATATACATGTATACTGTTTACATTGCTTGCCAGAACTCGTGTTATTATAAATTCAATTATTTATAATCACAAATAAAGAAATTCATATCAAATAATGATAAAGTAAATTAAATTATTTGATAATGTCAAAAAATAAATAACAATTATAATATCATATTGATATGCTAATCTACTTGATTGTCTCGTCTTTCAAACGTTTTAATACAAAATATTATCAATTTTCCTATAACCAATTTTCTGTCTACGTTTAACAATTGTTTGAATTTATAAGTTCAGGGATTAACATTGTTGCATCTTAGAATATACAAACTTCGAAAAATAAAATAAAATGAACATAGTAATATAACGTTAAATTCATCCTCGTTATAGAATGTCATTATCACTTTCAAAAATGGACTGTTCAGTCGTATATTGTAGAAGTTTCAGTTAGAACAAGTATTAGTGTATCATAATGAGATGCAATTTTTACAATTAAAATACAGAGTGTAATTACTTCAATTTTGTCTATCACTTGGCATGTAATGTAAGAATGTAACGCATTGGAAAGCTTATCATTCGAACGGAATTTTGGAAAAGGTTGTACAAGATTTCGGAAAAGGTTTACGTTTATATCCATATAAACGTCAAATATCTTGGCCCAATTTATAGCTACCGAATAGATGATACTTTAATCTCAGCGACTTTGTAACACCAAAATGACACGTTTATTCGCATTTTAGTTTACAGACGAAATATAACCATGAACTATAAATTACTAAATTTGTAATAGGTTATAAAGATAAAGCAATGCCCGAATTATATGAGCGGAGTCACGACAAAACCACGTTATGCGTTTGCGACCAGTATGGATCCAGACCAGCGTGCGCATCCGCTTACAAACACTATTACAAGTGGAGAAACTGATAGCAAACAGCATGGATCCTGATCAGTCTGCGCAGATGCGCAGGCTGGTCTGGATCCATGCTGGTTGGAAAAGCATTACTTTGGTTTTGTCGTGACGCGGCTCATAAAATAGTGTTCAGTAAAAAAGTAGTTGAGTTGATTCCTTAAGGTCACATACAATTAGTTGGTTTAATTAAACAAAATCTAATGCATAAATTGCATCAAGGATTGGGTAGAAAGCTTAAAGCTTGTATGAAACTCTCTCCATTTGTTGAAAAAAGATGAAAAAGATATAGGCTATTCAAAAGATCCAATGGGTACATACATAATGCAGCACCCAAACATTATAAAATATACAATTGTAGGAGGTAATAATAAGACAAAACAAGTCAACACGATAATGTTAAACAATAAAGACAAAAGAAACAACGTTGAAAACACATGGTGGTTGTTTAGCTACTTTTACCATCAATAGACAATTAGTATGTTAACATGAGACAATAAAAAGTTCACAAAGTTTATGCTTACCACATACCCTTTGTAGCTTTCACAGACTTTTTGTATAACTCCAGATGTATCTTGATAATTTATTTCGGCTCGTATAAGGTAGTGTATGGAGACGATAAGTGAATTAATACCCTCTTATCAAGTTACAGTAACGTACACGTTATACCGAGCAAACCTATAAATGCACTATAACGACTTATCTTTTTTGAACTTTAGAAAATACCAAGAAATACGAATACTGGAAATATAAAACAAACTCCTTTCCGCGAATTTGATATAAGTTTCATTATGCATGCATAGTTTTGAAAAAAGTGTAGAAGAGTATCCATTTAAATAGCATGTCATGAAAAAGAGTGCAACAAAACTAGTATTTTAAGGTGATTGATAATCTACATTTGTATCAGCCTTGAGATAATGAAAACTTGCTTAAGATAAACAATACCTGACCAAACATGCATTCTACATGATGTACTCGTTTTGTTTTAAGATTGTATATTAAGTAGACATTGATTTATTAGCACTGACAAACGTGTTGTTACATAGAATTGGATGTGCATGTAGTTATAAGTTTTAACTTTTAAAATAAACAGTTCCTTTTATAATGACGTATAACCGTTCATCTGAAAGCTTGGCGGGACAATGATTCGTTTTGGAATTTGGAACCATGCTTCTCTGAACTAGATGCTTGGTAAAATAGTATTTATATTTTAAACGACTATTTTAAAATTTTGAACATTATATGTATATTTTTGGATAGTTGGATGTTAGGAATATTTAACTTTGTCTTAATGTATAATAACGCAATGCGTTCGTAAGATCGGCTGTTGATAACCCGTGTAAATAAACAACAAATGAAGTATATGGATATACTATTGGTAAGACTGGATAAATTAAATTCTAATATGTAGAAACACAGTTTATTTTTTGGGTACATTATCATAAAAACGTGAAATCTGATATGTTCGGTAAAAGCATATAATAAAGTTAAAATTATTGTCTCATATTTCATTCTGTGTATCTTTATCCGCGTTCTTTCTAAAATATCCCGGTCTTTATATTTAATATAATCAAAAGCATAAATTAACAAAAAAGAATATCAATTTCTAAAACGAATGCTACTGTCTATTTTTTGGATTTGTTTTAAGTTAAAATGAATATGTGAGAAATCCTTTTCTCCAGGCAGCAGTACTGGTTGGTTATTTATCGATTTCAAAGTGCTTTGGTCGTGTTGATCAAGTAGACTGTACAGTGGACGCAAGGAAACCTGCTAAAGACACGCTGAAACAAATGTACAGCAAGTGGCTAGAAGAACGAAACGACTTACACGCATCTTTTCAATTTATACCACCTCTTTACAAAACTCGATTAAAAGGTCAATATTCGAATGCAAGTACCGAGTGCAATTTGAAAACAATGAGGATATATGGAGATCCAAAATGTCACAGGAAGTTAGACGCAACTAGTAACAACTTGATGGACATCTCTTTATGTCCTTGGTATGTTGAGATGACATATGATCCAGATAGATATCCAGAACGCCTTGCAAGCGCAAGATGCAAATGCAAACATTGTTATAGAGCCAATGGTTCCAAGTATAAGCGATCAAATCGTTCGGATATCCCTAGATGCAAAGAAATAAAACAATTGACCAGAGTTCTCAGAATACAAAAGAACCCTAAAGGAGATAAGGTTTGTCAGCCCAATAATAACAAACTATTTTTGTACAAGGAATCTTATGAAGAAATAGCAGTAGGTTGCACATGTGCACTTAAAGGTGATAAACGGGTACAACAAAACAACTTTAGAACAGGAAGTTAGTGTTAATAAAGTATGTCGTTGAATACTTAAATAACTTAATATCTTGGATATAATAGTGTATATGGTTATGCAACAATGAAAAAATAATATTCTTGAAATCAATTGGCAATTTTGTTGTGTTATTCCTCAGTATTTTACACATTAATATCAATACATGTAATGCATATTCGTCATACATGTATGCATCAAAGTGAAAAGAGTATTATTGTGCTTATACGGTAGAGGAATTATGTATGATACGAGATAAACAACGAGTACTGCTTGATATTTTACGTGAATAACTACCTGATGTTCTAAGTGATATTCTACATGTACTAGATATATAACAAGACAACAAAAGCTTGATCATCGCACATTGGTACAGAAAGAATATGCTAATAGTTTAACAAACACCTTCCAAATGATCTTGCAAGTGAGAAGTATTTCGCTAAATTTTACATACACGGTCATTTCTTTACAATATTTCTCGTAAATCCTGCGTGTCTCATTGATTTAAAAATTGGATTTATCATCTTTAAAGCAAATATTTACCGACGTTTCGGTATGCAATTACATTTCAGCGCGATTGTATACTGATATAGGATATTCATTTTGTTGCAGAATATAACAAGATCAGTGATGTGTACAAATAATGACTTTGGATCCAGACAAATATTCTAAAGTATCGCAAATACAAGTAAAGCATTTTGCTGTAATTTTGACAAAATAGATAAATACAGAATCCCTAAAGAAAGCCCAACACGGCAAAATTGAAAATGTTGTAGGCTCGGTTTGATTGAGCCTGTTTAGAAAATCAGTCAAAGAATAAATAAACCAACGGCACGAGAAAGACACTATGTGACTATAGTATTTGCCTACAGTAGTGATCGCTCTGAAAAATAACAATTACAATATATATCGTGTACGACTGATAAATTCTTTTTATTAAATATTGTGAAACTCAATGAAATATTAACCGTTTTTTAATAAAAAAGCAAAGTTTAGTTGACCTAGTTACAACGTTGACGTAGATACAACGATAAGCTTTCATTTCGCACGTGGATTGCCTCGTATAATTTTAGTTTTACAAGTTACTGGCAGAATCAATGTTCGAAAGAATATAGTTTGAATGCGATATATATGTTAAAGTTATATCAGCAATGCTATATTCTCCCTTGTCTCCAATCAGATGAGCTATCAGATAACGATTGTTTAATGAATGCAAACTCTTGTTGAGGACAACTTTAATCAATGAACAATACAAAACCACGTTCTCGAGATATTGTTGCATTTTTTCACTTTCACATAATCACGGTGTGATATATAGCATATATAATCATATTACTGATGATAATGATGATGTTTATGATGATGATGACGAAGTCGCCGATGATGAAAATGACGATAATAAAAGTATTGCTGACACTTATACCATATAATGGTAAATGCAGGTCAACCTTTCTTGGTGACGACATTGTTTATTTTTATCCGGCCTCTTGACGGGGAGCTATATATTTCGAAGCGAAACATTCTTTTTTACATAGATGCATGTGGCTGCCGAATAATTAATGCTCCATGGAGCTTTATTGGTTTGTTCTATATTGTTAGATATAAATAATAAAATATTTTTGGTCTACGTTTATAGTTAGAATTTATTATCTTAACCAAAAACCTATCCGTCCGTAGCTCTAACATTTCCGCATTTAAATGGAAGCTTTATTTAAATCATTATTATACAGTAGCACATATTTTGTAAACTCAACAACGGGTAAATAAGTCAGAACAAATAAACCTTAAACCCTGCTGTACACCTGGCTACGACAATTTAATCATCGTTTAAATCATGTTGTTATAAACTACTTCCTCGTTCCAGCGGAAATAGGTCGAGGTCGGTTATTTGTTTTTTAAGTATGTTATATTTTAAGAGGAATTGAATTGATTTAAACCAAATAACCAATCAATATTACGCACAATTTAAAGAACCGGGATGACATTTATTATGTTTGCTCATGAATAACGTCATTTATTAGATATACATGTAACAACATATAGCAAAACGTTGCCCTTATATCATTATTATATATAGAGTGATTAAACTTTTTATTTGATTTTATAAGCATCTAGTTAACCATGACGTTGATGACGCGCTTGGTGTTTATCCAGATAGACTCAACATGTAAATGGCGTTGAGTGGTAAGTTTGATCCAATATTTCAATGGCAGAAATGAAGAAAAACCTTTATATAATTCGATACAAATGAGAAAACAAAACATTCTTTCCTTCACGTTTAGCAATTTTAGATGTTGATAAAATGTTTAAACAAATGTTTCCATAAATCTTTAAAAAAAACAACTCCAAAAGAACAGACAAAGGTTATCGCACACTCCGTAAAACGAAATTGGACGGACGTGCGTATATTAAACAACGTAAATAACTGGAAAAAAAAGAATAAATTACAGCAAATTGCATAAAAATTGCAGAATCAGTTTGATTGAGTCTGTACATGAGGGATTATGAAAAAGTCTTTTTCTAGACTGTTAATCGTTGAATAAAATACTACCATGCTCATCAGAGGCTCGCATAATATGGTTTTTATTGAATTTGCTCAATAAATTCAGTAATGTACCTACATTCATTCAATATTCTTCATTGACCAACGTTGCTTAAGTAATTTCTTTCTTCGAAGTTGTAAACTATTCACAAAAAATTGAATTCAATGGATGGAGATGATAAATGAGCGACTTCTAGGCTTATCGGATGCAAGAACACAGTTCCAGTGCATAACAAAACAAAAACGACAAATAAGTAGTTTTTCTAAGATCAATGTAAACAAGGTAAACAGGGAAAATCTAAGCAATGTAAGGAATGTGAACAGAATACTCCTTTATATACATGTATATATAAACCTGGAAATAAGTAAAGCACACCCCGGAAATTTAAAATTGTTGTGATTGAAAGCACTGTCATGAGATGACGACTTAGCTGAGCTAAGAAATAGTAATTTTTAAAATAGCGATACCAATTGAGTAAACATAAAGCAGTAAATTTGCGAGTTAATTTAATTCTTAACCAAATTATTGAAACATAAGCAAATCTGTTGTTTTTTATAAAAAAAATGTAAGGGTTTATTGTATGGTGTTTGAGCGTTTACAAAACATTTACTTGTGGATATTTTTGGTAGATTTTAACGATTACGTAACATTTAATGACATTATGAAGCCTAATATTTAATAACGTGTATAACTGTCACGTGCCCGGATGATAGCCTCAATCCTTCTCCCCACACCTGCATTTTGCCTCAATTTTGACATCACCGCAACTGAAATTTCAAATTTTATTTGGGCAATGGTACGAACCACCTGTAGTCAGCTGCAACTATTGGAACAAACTCTGCACTAAGAATGGCAAAATTTACCTCAAAATCACATTAGACGCCTAACTGGTAATATGACCAGAAGGGTTGATGCTATCATCCGAGCACGTGGCGTTTACACATGTTATTAAAAATTGTTGGCTACATAATGTCATTTAAGGTTTCGTTATTGTCAACATTTACCAAAAATATCCACCAGTAAATGTTTTGTAAACGCTCCAACACCATATTCACAAACACTTACATTTTTGGTAAAAAAAAACACATTTGCTTATGATTCAATAATTTGGCTAAGAATTAACTAAACTCATGAATTTACTGGTTTATGATTACTAAATTGGTATCACTACTTATCACATTGCTATTTCTTATCTCAATTAAATCGTCATCTCATTACAGTGCTTTCAATCACAACCAATTTTAAGTATCCGGGTGTGCTTAACTTATTTCCAGGTGTATACATGTATAGTCAGCAACAATCCTCTTTCCTGTAGGCATACAAGTATAAGTAGTCACAACGATTCTTGAAATATAGCTATTTTTGTAACTTTTAAACTTTTTGTTAAATATTTGCGATTTCAAACCACCTAGTCTTTTGACTTTAAAAAGGAAGAGGAAAAAAAACTAAATGAATTTCCAAGATGTTATCTGCACAGCATTGTGAACAAATCATAATAATAGATCAGTGCTGAAACGCCCTCTTTTCAATGATTGGATTATCCCATATATACGTACATAGGAAATGAATATTGATTGGCTAATTTTTTTTAATAACTCCTCTTTTTTAAATGTGACGACACTATTGCTCCAAACTTGCTCCTCTAACCTGTGCGATCAATTATATCAATTTTAGCATTTAACAATACGGACAAATAAGTTAAAAGAAAACTCTTTAACTTAACTTCCTATATGTACGGAAGTCATTGGAATGACTAATTAATAAAGGATTATAACATGTATTTTAGGTTCGGTATTTATTGAATATAATTAAGCGTTTATTGAACACTTGCTGTGTTAATGTAAAGATGAAGAAAAATATAAGTAAATCAGTGCCGTGTCAACATTTTTTTTCTTTAAAGACGATGATGTTTGTGCCCTAACGACTTTTCATAACTCGCATTTTACATGTTAACAGACGGAAGCAAACTTAAAATTTTCATTACATAAAGAATTTGTAAAAATATAATTGCTTCAAATTTGAACAAGTAATACCATGAAATGACCTTATTTTAATTTGTTGACTTAATTAAATGATTCGAGATTTTCATCATAATATGCCTGTTTTGTTTCTGTTTTATTTATCACATGCTATTCATATATCTGATTCACTTGAAACATTCACTTGTCTATAAGATTAACCAGGTAAACACTCTCTCTATAGATAAGGCTATACAAATCCAAGTAACCTGTGGAGCAAATGCTTCCATAATATCATTTTTGTTGTGGACATTATTATCTAACTAAACTTATTTAAAATATATATTTTGATTGATATTCTACTTATCACGTGATAATGATAGCATACCAGAATCTAACCAAAATAGTTTTGCAGAGAATAAGTAAAGAAGCGAAGAGTAATATATCATATGAACAAACGTTTATGTAAAATCAAACGTTTACGTAACAAATAGCTGAAAATGTTCTGAGATCACAATTCAATAAAAATGTTTCTTTGAGTATAAACACATACATGACTTTGAGTATGAACACAGGGAAAAGCACCATACTATTCATATATAATAAAGTTTAATGCCTAACACAAATTAACAACTTCATGAGATGAATACTGTTCATAATAAAAATTAATGCTATTATAATCCATAAAGATGTAAACCTAATGAAGTTGCTCTGTTTATTTTCAAACATTGACACGCACATGACGATACAGCTGAACACAATTACGTCTTTAAAAGGAAAACATTAAAAGTCCATTTCAGTTATTCTTCAATGGCAATTCTTGTAGATGATTGTACGTTAGCCTCAACTGATGACAAGGAAACTGCAATACATGCAACAGGTACCGGTTCCCAGTACCAGACATAATTACAGCCTGCCTTCCGAAATACTTTTACATACGTTATAACACTTTTACACTTGTGACTGTTAGAATGTAGTCTCGGACGCTCGCATAAACAAACGGTGTGAGTGAGACGTCTTGGTAAACGAGATTCATCAATATCGTCTATATACTTGAACCGGCAACTAGCAAGATTTCTCACAGTGTTGGGCTGTGAATGGTGACGGGTACATCTAGAACCATTGCGATAAAGATAAAGATTGCTTACATGAGTCCCGGGCAGTTTTTCAAAATTGTCTAATGAGTCATACCACTCTGGTCTAACACTGTTGGTCTGAGCATTAACTGTGTCTAGATAGTCTTCAAAACTTATTGTAGGCTCTTCATTACATTGGTGTGCAATAACAAGCAACGACTGTAGTAACTGAAATTAATGGATGATATTGACGTAATTGTTTTTAAAATGAAACACATACTTATAATTGTGTCATTGATTCTGATAATAATATAACGTCTATACATTATTGTTCTTAACTTTATTTTTTATCATTATATTTCATGAATTGTCTTGAGCTTTAGTTAAAAGAAAACAGTTTAAGACAGAAGAATTACAATTGTTTTGTAATATAATTATCTTATTTTTCATCTTCACTTACCAGAAGTAAATCTAGCCCTCCTTTGTAGTAACGTAAATGCATGCTTTACTTTAAAATAAATAAAAAAATTGAATAATTTTTACACTAGGATTCTTTAGGTGTCATTTTAAAAGTCATAAGTATTTATACTAAGAGCAGGCAATTGCCAATATTCCGTAATTTGAGATCGATTGATGTCAAGGAAAAACCCAGTCATGTTATGGTGAGTGGAATTTGAAAATGTGAACTGCGGCTTTCTCCGTCACAGCGGATGTGTATCACAAAACATAACTAGAAACTCTTTCCTAAAGACCGATCGTGTTTGATTTGAACATTTATTTGTAGAGCTAGGCTAGCTGTAGTTATACTGTCATGTATAATGATGATTTAAATGATAAACCGAGTTATTGTCTCCTATCCGGCTAACATTCTTTTAAAATAAAGATTACAATGGAGGTAAAATATTTATTATACACAGCAAAAATATTTCATGAGGTATAGGACATCCTTTTTAAATATCTTTCTTTATAATTATTTATATTCATGAAGAGAAGGATTTCTAGAAGTTCCATCACAATGTGTTTCCAAATTCCAAAGCAACCGATCCCATCTTCATATATTAATGCATGTTAGGACATTTAAGGTGTGTATAAAGTCGAATATTGCAATTTAGCATTTCTACTTCCTAATGGCATGAAAAGGTTAACTCTCTTTTCCGGTTTGGTTTGGGTTTTAACTAAATCTAAAGAAATTGAAAGGGGACACCTTAAGTTTTTCAAATCAATTTTGGGAGGAAAACTGTGTGCTAGTAATAATGCAGTGTATGGCGAATTAGGGAGCTACCACTTACATATCCACAGATACGTACAGGTCATAAAATTTTCTCTTAAGCTTGTAAATACGGATAATAATATACTACGTTTGCGACCAGCATGGATCCAAACCAGCCTGCGCATCCGCGCAGTCTGATCAGGATCCATGCTGTTCGCTTACCATCCCTATTACAAGTAGAGATACTTATAGCGAACAGCATGGATCCTGATCAGTACTTGACAGCGCAAGCTGCATTTTGTGCCCTTACGGGCGGAGGAACCCTCATTAAGCATTAACAGACTGACTGGCTGACTGCCCTGATCAGCGCAGGCTGGTCTGCGGGTATTATAGGGTTACACTATCAAAGCAGTTACATTAACGGTTTTTATTGTTGCATTATCAGAGCGGTTAAATAATCAGGGCGGTTACATTAACAGAATGGTATGTATTTTCAGAGCGTAAACATTTTCAAAGAGGTTACAGTTTCAGTTCGGCTATGTTATCTGTGAGGTTTCATCATCAGAGCTGTTTTAATATCAAGTTACATTACCACGAGAGATTACATTATCAGAGTGATTATATTATCAAGTTACATTATCGGAGCGGTCATAAGAATGGATACATTCAGTGGATAATTGATTTCCTTCATAATTAAAAAAAAAAGTTTCAAAATTTTATTGTTTATTGTTTTAAACCTATTTCAATTCAAAATAATCATGGTATAGAACAAACATGAATTTGACCTGACACATGACCTGCGTATGCTTGAAATTATTAAAGTTATGCAGGGGCTTAATTTTAAGTGGCGAAACATTTTAGAGATACCAAAGCTCGAGTGAAATTTCATTTTTATATTTTAAAATTGTTTTTTGATCATTATTGCCCCTTTCGGTTTAAAAAAAGTCAAATCTTCCTTCAACATGCCTCTATCATAATATATTATAGTAACTAAGTTTTAATATTAAGCTTTAATGCTTGGTCGAATAGTATTATTTATGTACTTATTTACAAAATTAAATTGGTCAGGCACGGCGCAGTGTACTTATAAATTTTAACCGGCTTAGTGTAATAAACAGTCGATTTACTAGACTGATTTACAGTTTGACGATTTACCAAAGTATATGTGTTGCGATTCATTTGAAATACTGCAATCCGTTTGGACAAAAATAATTTAAAACACTAAAGCTTTGTTGAATCACAAGGATACTCAGTCACTAAAAAAGACTTAATCAAAATTCAAGCTTAATTTGTTTGAAACTATCTTCATTTCAATATTATTAATAATAATCCATCGGTTCGTCCCTGGTGGGGTATTGCTATCACTTCCCATCCTTCTTTTATACATGTGTAAAATTGAGATGACGATGAAATTATTGAAATACCGATCGTTTACCAACTCAATGCCCAAGTCATTAACTCATTTTTGTTTACACTTCCGGTTTCATCATATTACAAGGAATTTGTAGACATGTGTAACTTATTGAATGGTTACAAATTCATATCAATCTTTCAAATGGGTGTCATCTGTTTTTGCTTAGGACAACAAATTACATATTTTTAATGAATGTTGCAAATACAATATGAGCTTTTGAGATGTTCTTAAAGTAATAAGAAAAAAAAAGCACGATTAAGGCTCAAAAATGCTTTTCCTTTTATTTTATATATTTGGTGTCCTATTATAGTTTCCAAAAATGTACTAAATTGCTAATTACTTGAAATCATAGTTTGCTGCAGTACTGTTACCTTTTAGCATTTAGTAAAGTTATATTGATAATTTTGTATGAAGACAAAATACTACTTTGTTTACATTTTCTTACTTTTACGACAAACAATTCTATACTCGACAATTCTTTCTTCAGGTGATAAGTTAAGCATTATCAAACACATGTCTTCCCTTTCTTAAAAAAGAAAACTTATTTGTTTCTGAGGCATAATGTGCTTTTAACATGATATTACTCATAATGATCAGACAAAACGTAAGGGAGAAATTTTCTATTGTTAAAGGAACTAAACTATACTACAAGTACTTTGGGCTATTAGTTGTAATTAACGACCCGGTACAGACACAACTTAGTCATTATAGATAATCAGTCTAAATCATAGCTTATAAATTCTTTCGAAATGACAATAATGTTCTGTGTATTGTTGTAACGTTAATGAACTCATTTTAGGTGAATGTTACGTTTTTTAAAAGATATTATAGCCTACCATATAACTATGAGAGCCGGAAGTTGACGGAAAATAAAATCATAAAATACCTGAGGTGTTGATAGACATAATCTCTGTAATGATCTAGACTTTTTCCTTTTGATTAACGAATGAACTTTATAAACATTTCTGATATTTAGATCCTTCAACTTATTGAAACAAATAATTGTTTTTGTTTTAACAGGGGAAATGTCACAGTCTTCCATAAATTATAAAAAAAAACGTTTCCTGCCGAACACTATATAAATGAAAACAAGTCATGCACATTTCAAAGCTAAAGTGTTATGCACAAATAACAATAACTTATTAAGAAAAAGGTAAGTATGTACGATTGTTTTGAATTTAAACAAATACTTATTACCCATATTAATTACAACAAACTATAATAAAAAAAAATGGTCTGCTTTGAATTTTGAGTTGTCCATTTGGAGTTAGAGACATTTTTATATGGAATTATAAAAACTAAACAGCCATAAGTATATAGAGTATACATATATTTAGAATTGAATGTAATTAATTCATGAATATATTTTCTTTCAGATATCCTTGGTGCAAGGTTTAGTTATTTACCGACAACATAAGAACACAAAAATGTGCGCGACACGCTTCTTTATTTGTATGAAATATATCATCATTGGATACTGGTTTGTTATCAGCGTTACTGCCAATCCTATTACTTCCAGTTTAACCTGTGAAGAGCCTTCTCCTATTGAAATTGCGGGTCTTTTCTCTGATGCTAACGTCATGCACGAATCATTTGACATGACAAGATACAACAGTGTACACCTTACACATGACATGAAAAACTTTGAAAACATCACCACCACAAGAATCCCTGGATATTCAACAGCATGCAGGCGTAATAGCAATTCTTACAATATTAACGCAGCATCAAGCTGTCCATGGCACTTCGTTTTAAATGTGGACCCAAATAGAATACCTGGATCAATCATTGAAGCAAAATGCAATTGCAGAAATCGCCCATGCGTCAATGGAGGTGGAAACAGTCAATGTGAGCCATTAAAATATAATATACGGGTTCTTCGTAAATACGGATGTGAAAACGGAAAGTTTCTGTACAAAAGAACTTTGGAAAGAATAACTGTTGGATGTACATGCGTTACTACCCAGTAAGAAAATATCTCTTGGACTCTAACATTACGTAGCATGTCATTGACATACATATTTTATGTTGTAAGAGTTGGGGTTAGTAGAATTTATGGTACTTTTTAGCCATTATTATGCCTTTTTTGTTGCAAGACATTTATGTGTTCAATACCTTTTTATAGTATTTTGACAATATACATTAAATATGTATTATATATTTATATATTTATTTATTTATTTTGTTTCATGTATTTGTATAAAATTATTTAATAAATACGTTTTCAAGAAAGTTGTTTTTCTTTTTATTTTCCTGCAAAAACAATAAAGTTGAACAGATTGACAGTGCCAACTTGCGTAGACTCCCTTTACTTACATGATAAATTGAAAGAAAAATGAACAACAATTGACATCCAGGCAAAAACTTCTAAAATAATGATACATTTTTGTTTATTATGTAGTGTAATAATAAAGTACATAATTTAAAACCCTATGTATTATACAGTTTTTTAAAATTCTTTTGTAGGTTCAATTCTTTGTAATATTGGCTTACTATTCTTCAAAGGAAATCGGAATTTGTTAAAATATATTAAATTTTGAATCAAATGATGCAGTTAACGAAGAACTCGGACTCCATTATTTTTTATCAAGGCATGAAAGAATAGGCCACAGCTATAATTAAGTGATTTCATATAAATAAGTGATGGTATAAATGGTTAATACATCTATAATTGGTTACCATATCTGATATTTTGTACAATTATTGGTAGATGCATGTAGGGGAGAATCAAGTTTTTTAAAATAAAGTGCAAATAAAGATGCAAAGGGTTGAATGTGTATTAAACATAATTAGACATAATACGCATAATTATTTTTTTACATGTATTATTGATCCGGACTCGACGATATGGTATGAAAAATAACGGTATAAATGTATTGTAACCCGTATGATTTTGAAGACGACTATAATTTTATATTAGTAAGTACCCTTTATATTAATATCCGTAAACTGTATAAATTGATAGATATCAGTAAGCAAAGCAAATTGTCTTTAAATTCATGAAGTTGTAAAGTTGTGACAAAAAAATATTATGTTCGTTGGTATTTACTTGTTTGTATTTATTCCCATATTTTATCACCATCCGACACCTTTTAACGATATATTTAACGTTTCTTAATAATCACACATTTCCAAAAAGATAACAAGTTTTCACAATTTTTTTTTTCCAGAAGGTCATATACCCATGTGGTACAATATGCAAAATATATAATATGGCAAACATGCATCAATACTAAGTTGGCATGACCTCATACATGCATCACAGTAGCACATTTTACATAGGAAATGAAAACATATATTCACCTTTTACATGATGTACAAGTTTATAATAATTCACATTTTCGTCGTATGTGTCAAACGTATATATGCAACATAAGATTTAAAAAAATAATTAAGTGTAACAAAAATCCAATTGTACTGACTTTACATAATTATTAAATTAAATCTATCACTAGTGAAGTAGATAAATTTGATAGATTAAAATCTGTCTCAATTGAATATTTCCAAAAAGATATATTAGATTCAAAATGTACACCAATTATTCAAACAAAGAGTGCTTGATGTACAAGTATCCAGTGATATGGCGGCGGGTACGGTGACTTGCACTTTCCAGTGCCGTCCATAAACAGGCTCAATCAAACCAAGCCTGCAACATTTTTAATTTTGTCGTTTTGGGCGTTCTTTGTGAAATGCTTTTTCTATATTTTACAGACGGGAAGAAACAACCTACCATATGTTTGGTGCAGACATAATTCAAAGCCTTCTGAAATTGCAAGTGATCAGCGTTTGCCACCAGTATAAAGCCAGACTAGTCTGTACATTCTTGTAGCCTTGCCAGGGTATATACTATTGTCTGATCAACTTTTGATATCCCTCTAATTGATAATGGACACTTCCAAAAATGGAAGCTGGATATATTCATTTTAGAAATTCACCAAGCAAAGGTTAACACTACCTTTAATGTCACACAAACACACAATATGTCAAATGGCGACTTTCCTGCTTACTGGTGGTGAATGACCTCATTTTCCCTTTCCGTTCATTTTTGTAAGGCAAGAACGGGCACATGATTAGAACCAACGACTTTCAGTAAGCTAGCTAGATATTCATTCAAAGTCTTCCTTATATACAACAATGTATGATCATTCTACAGAAGACCTTAAATGTTAGTTTTATATCATGTGATTAGATATTTTGTTTTATTCAAAATGCATAATGAAAATGCTGTATTGTTTAAGTAACGCATTGAAATTTTATATTCTATTATAATTCATTTGTACAGTCAAGAGAAAAAAAATATACATTTTGTATTTATATGATTATCAAAATCACTAAGCATATAAATAGTGCTTTTATTTCTTTGGTTTGGTATTCTAGTACTAGCATTTAATATCTAATATTTGTGATAAATTAAAATAATTTCAAAATAATTTATTACGTCAAGCTTGTTTTAAGGTGAACTTAAAGCAAACCAAAATACTATTAATTACACCTGTTAAAACTACATTGTAGTAAACTTTTTATCTGACGCTTAGTAAGTAATTAAGCAGACGACATTGCTAATTCCGGTTTGGAAAAAAATGCATAAAACCGTGATATTGATATCGTGGAAGATTTAATTTGCTGTACAGATAACAATTCAGTTAATTAAATAACTGCAACAATAGATTTTTCAAATCTTGGCCAATTTACAGTTATTGTAATAAAGGGTAATTTTGAAACAGTTTTGCGTATTTCAAAGTTGAAGGAAACGCCATAGTAAACATTAGCATTAAATGAGTATCGAAAGTTTGTACATGTGGAAAAAAAACATTACATCTAACCTAAAGCACATATGTGTTGAAATAGATATTCAAAATATACAATTTTATGAAATTTTATTTTACAGAAATGAAGATAATTCAATATAAGAAAACACAAATTCTACCAGTTTTAGATAAAATAAATTTTAAATTAAATTAGTGTTACAGTATTTGATATAACTATTCTTAACCTGACAAAGATCTATGTATTTCACACACAAAATATATGAAATTTTATCATGTTTCGTGAAAATATATTCCATATTTTACTAAAACGAAAAAATATCCTCCTTGTATATATCTAGATCTCTTTTTTTTAATTTTCACCCAACAAACACAAGACATCATGCACAATACAGAACTTTTTGAGGCTTTCGGGATATTGGCAGCAGAGAATTATTCGATAGTCTACCAAATTACTTATAATAAAGTACGTATAATATCTATAAAGATAATCTACACGATATTGCGATGAATTGTATCGTTTAAGAATACCAACCACCTGAACAACCTTGAATAACTTGATAAACAAAAAAACTTTAACTTAATAGTTTTAGAATAAATGTTGCATGAAGTCACGTAATATTGATATCACGAAAGTTGCCATGACGTTAGATCAATATATATAAACTATGATTCTCTTCCTACTATCTTTCAATGTATTCAATAGTAATTTAATGTATAGATTCCTATTTTCAAAGGAAGGACTATCCAAAAAGTCCCCCTATATTAAACCCTAATTTAATATTGCTTGATTATAAATTAAGGATTAATCGAAATCGTATAAAATAATTGGAAGATGCTAACGGAAATATAATTTGATAATAGTTTATTGTTTTAATGTACCAATACATTTCCAATGTCGTCATCTAATATTTCTATATAAGTGGTCTATATTGTTCAAATCCTCAATCATAGCCACTGCGTTACTTTAGATCATCAAAACGTTTTGCATAAATATCGTTAAATAGCTACTTATTTAGAATTTTATTACTGTCTCTTCTCACATCCAATTATCATAATGGAAGGTTTATTTTATTCAGTAATTGTCTTCATTTTTCTGGTAAGTATTATCAAATTATTTCATGTTATAATTCCGTCAAACTTACAATGACAATCATTTGTTATACTGTTATGCATGCAGAACTTTTAATAAAGGAATGTAACAAATGTGTTTGCGCTCTCTTTCCCCTTTCTTTCTCTCTCGTTGCCTTAAAAATAAGCAATATAGCATTAGATTTATATAAATCTGCATAAAGTGTGGTTTTTATCTTTTCAGACACCAGGGTTAATACACAGCAAAGTCTTACAAGGCTGCTCAGAACCGGAAACTATGCCCACTATGAGTTTTGAGGAAAACTTAAATATAACAATAGAACAGTCTTTTAGTATTATCCCTGGCTGGTACGAAACAATCGCAGCTAAAAACGAAGTTCCTTTGGAATATATAGATGTTCACCACAAACATTTCTTCGGACATGGCAAATGTAAAAATAATAATAAGAGAAATCGCAAACATAAAAGAGACAACACTCTGAATAATCTTAGTGAATGTATGTGGAGATATATTGAAAACCTAGACATAAATAGAAAACCTAGCAAACTTCTAGAAGTTGAGTGTATATGCAGCTCTCCACTTAATGCTAGGAGAAATGTTGATTTGATTTGTGAAAGGGTATTTGAATATGTATCCGTGTATAGAAGAATTGGGTGCGTCAATGGAGTGTTTGAGTACAAACGCGTATGGGAGCCAAGAGCAGTCGCTTGTGTCGCAACAACAATGCCCGAACCTACCCGGCTTCGTACAATGGCTTACAGAATATCAGAATAACTTAGGGAATTGACAAAAATGGTTATATATAATAGACTTAGTCATACCAAAATATCATTATGAACATAGCAGATTTTAAATGCTTCTCCAACTTGATGTAGCTTAGTTATTGAACAATAATAGTACAATTTTAAATCAAAATTAGTGCAATATAATACATTGTGTTGAAATACTTAATCATATTCATATATGTATGTCAATAAAAATGAAATTTATAACATCTTTGATTTTCTGTGTTACTTGCTTTACTTTGCAACTATATCTAGCGATTGAAAGCAAACCATTGCAGATGATTTCTGCCGGCGAGAATTAAACTGTCTAGAAACAATACTATTTTGAACCTTCCAACGTTTACATTATAATCTTACTTGTAGAGTAAAACATATCATTATTTGTTTCGGTGTACATTTAATTTTCTAATGCATTGTGCGCTATACATTCTTTCACCACATAAAACAAATACGGATATAAACGTCAGTGCAAAGAAATTTCTTTATTGTTTAACTGAAAGTCGTGCTCAACTGATAAAATAAATAGAATCAAAGAAAAATCAACAAACAAACATAATAACACAAAATAAACAAGAAAAGTAACAACCAAAAGACAAATAATATCAACAACTACAATAAAAACAAAACAGCCAATATTGAATTGCATTAAAGCTGCTCGTCCAATATAGTTGTTAAGTTTGGTACAGATACATCTATGTAGTTAAACATATGTAACACGATGAACCAAGCTTATACCACTTTATAGCCATTGCATGATATTAACTTGAAACATTATTTAATACAACTCTGATACTACAAGTTTTAATGTTTGTTTTCTATGGTTTTAACGGTACATTAACACATAAATGGCCATATCGTGCCGAACACTTTAATTATAAACATAAGATTATTAAACCTGAAAAGGGGGTTATTACAACATTTTCACACTAGAAGATCTTTTATTAAACATGCATACATTTGCATTGTTCGTATTTGTCAATATAAAAAGAACAATATCATTGCTAAATTCCTATTTACATGCTATAATAGTGATAATTATCCCTGCTGAATTATAACAGGTTGTTCATTTCACCAATACAGTAAAGATCAAAAGACAATATATTTGTCATTAACGGTAATTAGCAGTGGTAGAGTAGACAAGACAATTCTTTTGAAATTTAAACTTCCTTATTGTACATAAATTTGTGCATATTAAAACAGTTATAACCAGTGTTGTAGGTAAATGCTATTTGACGTTAGTGTAAGTTAACTTAAATGAAAGATTTCATATGCGATGTTCAATGAAAACATCTACTTTTTTACATGTATTGATTTGCTTCTAAAGCACTAGTCTTCATCATTACTTTTTTACCATTGAATCACCGAATTTGAAATCTGGAATAGGGATTTAAATGTTGAATTAATTGGTTATTCGTAAAGCTTCTTGATTTGTTGTTAGAAATTTTGTTTTCTCAAAGTGACATAAAATCTGCGTTGACTATACTTCAGAAAAAGATGCGATTCGGTTTTGCTGTGCTTTTCACCTGTGTGTTTATACATGTATCTTATGCTGACCGAACATTGAGAGTTAAGTGTGATGCAAAGGAAAACATCACTCTGACGGAGCGAATTAATGAACTTCATGAATCGTTTTACATGCTGCCATTCTTTAGAAACAGTAATAACTTCATTACTAACGGCTCTGACTTTCACCAAAATGTACACGCTAAAACTGTCCAGCTCGCTAAAAGGAAGAGTGATCTTTTGTGTAAAACTCAGAAAGGCAAGAAGAGAGGCAATAAACTACGGAGAGCATCAACGTGTCCATGGCATTACGTGTTGAATGTTGACAATCAGAGAATCCCAACTATATTGTTTGAAGCTCGGTGCAATTGCGCTCATAGATGCCTGGGAGGTATGGCTAACTCTAGATGTGAACCGATTAACTACTACTATCACGTGTATAGGAAAGTGGAAGAAGATAAATATGGGTTTTGTACTTATCGTGAAACGTTAGAGGCCATCAGTGTTGGATGTACATGTATTCACCATCCGAAAGATAGACCCGTCACCTCACTCTAATGGAACAGTAATCGCATGTGCATTACTTTTATAAAGTCGATTAAAAAATAAATAATAAAATGCTTAAAGGTTTATTTATTTCAATAGCAAAAGTGCTAAGTGAAACTCAGTGAAACATTAATGAAAAAATAAACATATTCCAATATAATAGTTTAACTTGAAATGCTATATACCTTACTGCTTGAAATATTTTTGAAGTTTTCTATGTCGATTAATTAAAGCAGCACCTCCTCTGATTTGTTACAACTTGCGTGCAAACTAATGAGTAAAACTGTTGTCTAAAGGATATAGTCCTGGGAATAAGTAATTATATCAGCAAAAACTATCTATATTGTTTGGTTTTATTAACCTGTCAATTACATACTGATTACACGGTCGATGCACACAGTATATTAATCTTCGGTAGATGTTCGGTAAGTTCCGCGAGATGTACGCTGTACGATGAAATTTAATTTAATTTGTATCTCTAAACTAAAAGTACTCAGCGTTATAGCGCAATAGGGTAAATCACCAGTTTATAATCTAAGTGCCAAACGTGTTTTAAGTTCGAGGCCGCGTTGGTCCATGTTTTTTTCTTTTTTATACTTTCAACATTATTGAATCTATATATGATTACTTTATGTTGTTCGTTTTGTTTGATTATGTTTTACTTAATTTTGTTATGTTTATATACTCTTTCTTTTTTAAATAACATGTTTTTTTTAAGAATTCATGTTTAAAATTAAAACGGATTAAAATCAATAAATGTCTTTTCAATGCCGTAAAACACACTACAAATCTGTTCCATTAAAATATACTGCAAAAATAAAGAAAGAGTACTAAAACAATGGCAACAGTCAGGATCGAACCACAGACCTCTCAATTATCAGGCATTCTCTTTACCGACTGTCCTATTGTGAATTAACGAATACTTTAACATTAAGCTGGCGTGACTTTCAATCCATGACTAATATACTCCACATTAATTCTCGTAAACTACACGTACCAAACCGAAGTGGGATCGAATATTTAAATGAGTCCTACAATGTATTCATAATTGACAGGTCAATAAAATCAGACTATACAAAAGTGTTTGTTTACATTGTATGTTTATAACATTTGTCTTTTTTATTGGAGTAAATATAAATTTTCAACTTGATTAATATTGCACCCGAGAGACTTAGCAAAACAGCCATACAATTTATTGACTTAAACCAAGCTAAATCGACACACTAGCCATTTGCTGGTAACATGCCACCGGAAGATTGTTATGTTATAATGTATTTATATATGTGGTATTGTCGTGAAACTTGTAATCTGTTTGTCAGTAAATAGGATGGATGACTCTTTGCGTTAGAAATTAATGACATTGTAATTTGTTATATTAGTTAACTGATTAAGTGACCTGTGTTTTATTCATTGTTTTCAAGACATGTTAGTACTTTAAGTATTGGAGTTTTTAAAGTATATATTAGTTGTATAATATATAATTGATGATTAATATAAATGTTCTCTATAACTATGATTTGTGATGTACTGCTTTATATTATTTGTGCCTGCTATGTTTGTGTCATTTATGATGCTCTAAGAGAGTGAATGCATATGATTTGACTTGGAACAGAATAGATTAATTCATTATAGTTATGATTAAGGACAAACAAATGTATCACTGATACGCTTCGTACTTTACTTTTAACATTATTAAAAGCAGTTTATAACAAATAGCAACTTTTTTTATCATACGAAAACTACATGTAATAAAAGGTGCATGAATGAAAAAAAGGATGAAAGCTACATAGCATGTAAAGTCATCCCCCATACATGTATCAAAGTAATGACAGTAAAAAAATGCAGTTTAAACATTTATTTAAGGGTTGTAATGATTTTGATAGAATCAAACTGAACTGATTTAGAATGAAATTTAGCGAGTGTTTAAAAGACAGAAGATTAAATAATGGAAACAAGTGAGAAGATTCCTGTTCAAATAGAAATACTTCTGTTACAAGATGAATCTCAAGGAAATATACACATATACGAGGTATATACATTTGAATATATTGAATATGTATTATATATAAAGAAGAAAAAGAAATTGCAATAATTATAGTGATGCATGCAGAACATACAAATATAGAACACATAACAATAATCGGCTGGCCCCATGGACCCTATATTCATTGTTTATAGAAAACGACGTGTGTATAAATCTAGTAAATCAATTTGCTTTAAGTTCAAAGACTAGTATATGAATAGTTTTAACAGAAAAATATTTCACCTGCCTAAACTTGTTATCATAGTATGCAATCATGATAAATAGCTTGAACATATTGTAAATAAAAGTAAGAAATATCTTAAAATACACTTATATATTTCTATAAATGACATAACGTCTAATTGGGCTTTCACTAGATATTTTGCATTTTTGCTAACGTGATTTGTGAACAAGAAAAATAATTTTCCGCATCAACACGGTATCACTTAATATATCACCAAAATATTGTTTTCCTATTTAATCTTATTTTGGGCACCTTTGCAAGAAGTGTATCTCGTTTTCGACTTAATTGATATGACATAGCTAACAGAATCTCTCATAGAATGGCTCTTCTTGTTTAATCACTGAGTGGTAAGTTCTAAGTTTTGGAAAATTTTGCACTTTTTTTCTCCACTGACTACTATAGACAACTATGAACGTAATTCGATAAAGAATAACATGTTTTTTCTATGAAAATTAACACGCCAAATTTATAAGAAATACGGCGTTTTCATTGCATGACAAATAAGGCCGGACACTAAAGAGAGTTTTCAATTTCAGTTCAACTGTCTGGAGACAATAATGGATCTGCTGTTACTAACATTTGAAAGACATCATTACAGATTTTTTCGCGCTACACCAGTTACCGTTACATAGCATACTAGTCTTGATAAAACACCAATTTTGTAATCATTTCATTGTTAAAATTAACCAGTCTATTTCAGAAATGAATATTTAGCTGAAATACATTTGTCAATACATAAACATCTGTCAAATATATTCTATTGTTTTACAAAAACTTCCGCCAGTAACTTACACATTTAGATAAATTAACGAAGATTCGTTACCAGTTGAAATTCAAAAGCGTGTTTGACAATAAGTGTCAGTTGATTGGCTAAGAGTTAAACTATGACACTATTCAGTCAATTAGAAACGGTATGTTAGGAGATTTTGGTAATAGGAAAGGGTTTTTTAGAATTCTTTTTTTTTATTTTTTTTATTTTTAAAGGAAAAAAAACAATAACAAACAAAATAAAACCCAAAAACAACAAAATGACCAGGTTATTTAAACGATGCCTTTTTGTCCGTGTAGTTTTTCCTAAATGAAGTACTTACGTATTCGGTTCCATTATTTTTCTATTTTATTCTATAAATGTTTCAGTTTCAAAAGAAAACATGACATTAGACCAATGTAAAAATAAAAACCATAGATCTGTCTTGGTATATTTAATAAATTTTACGTTTATTTCCTGCCGGGAATTATATAGCAATTGATTTCAAAACCCAACAAGATGCAGTTCTAATTATAAATAAAACCAAGCAAATATTACCAAGTAAAATAATATTCATTCATTTTGCAATTAATATTGTTTTCAAGATATGTTTTGCCCATAGTATATAAAATATAATATGTACTTTTACACATTACCTTTGCGTAAAAAATGTGTATCAATTGTGTCGTAGTATAATTTTAAAATTTATAATGGTCTGACATTTTCTTCAATGACTCATATTGAAGGAGAACAGCATGTCAACTAGGTAAAAGGGTTATTGTATTGCTGTAAGGCCTCATACATGCCAACGTCTCAAACAAACGCAATACCACTAGCAATACCACTGCTTGGAAACAGTAAACGTTTTTTTTTATAAAATTTACAAAACTTCTCTATGTTCAAAATTACTTGCAAATAGAACATAAAACAAAACATATTCATCATTCGAGACAATAATGTCAATTTCTCTATCTGCTTCTTTCTATCCTCTCTCTTCTTTATAACGTTACGGTGGTTTTATTCACTTTTTTATTTATGACTATTACATTGTCTTTAAAAAGATACTGAACATGACAATGCGTATTCCCCGGCCTCTTTGTAGGTTTTGCTTATTTGTGTGCTTACTTGCTTGTGTTGTCCTTTGCTTTACCTTGTTCCCTTTTTCAGTTTTGGTAGAAAATAGACCGATTCTTAGAAAATTGTGACTATTTAACATTTCTTGTAATTTAGGACAATGATGAATAACAACGATTACAGAAGAGCAGAAAAATATGAAATACAAAAAGTACATGAATAAGTAAAATGATTAGAGCCGAAAGCTATAGAGCATATAAAATTTGAATTTTAAATCAAATTTGCTAATAAATTAAACATTCATTCTTTCATATCAATTGCAAATACTGTCCAAAACTATCTTTTTAGTATATGGAAAAATAGAATGAAAGAATAAAAGTTTAATTTATTGGTGTAAAATTAATTTATAGATTCAAATTTTGGGATAATTAAGAATGAAATAAGCGACTGTTAAAAAGAATTGTGATTTAAGAGAAAGATAAAATAAGAAAATAAACTTTAAGGAGCTTATTTCGGATATCTTCTAAAAGCAACATTTTGTGCGGAATGAAACTAATGAAAGCGATTACTTCCACTAATTAATACAGCTATATATACTCATTAAATGATTTTGAAAAAAATGAATTACTTATGATGCGCCGTTCTACATTTTCTTACGTTTTGAAACCTGGTATCGTAAATAAATGTAACAACTTCATCCGTGTAAATTTTATCAATTTGAATTATTGATTAACTCATTTAATGCTTTAAAATATAATTAACATAAATTTTATAAAATTGGTGATGATGATTATTATTTATTGTACTGTTTATACCTTTGATGCAAGGCATGTTTTCATAGAAAGTAAAGACATCTATGTTTTACACCATGTGTTTTAGAAATGGGTATAGATTGGTTAATCTATGCAAGTAGGGCGTGTCGTTTAGTAATTGCTGGCGTTGCGTCAGTATTAGGTATCTGTTATTGTTTTACTGATTACTTCCG